GTGAACACTGAGTAATACATCTCATGGGGTGGAGGCTGGCAGGAAAGATGGTTTGGGAATCCTGTGCGCTCTGTCTATCGCTGCTTCTGTGGGTGTGATAGCTGGGATTAATATATAAAGAAATATAAGCGAGCGCATATAATGAGGTCTTATAGTTAGTGTTATACCTAGTAGTCGTTAGTACTGTAGGGTATAGGTAATAATTTATATATTCCTAAATTCACACAAAAAAGAGAGTATAACGCAAGTTATAAAAAATGATATGTAAAATTATGTAAATAAATTAATTACGGATAAATAAAATAGCTGCTAGCACTTAAGGTATCGGTAACTGTCCCAATATAAACGTATATCATAAACGTGCAGTGCTGAAAACTCATGAAACATAAATATCTTATATTATACTTGAATATATAAATTGCAAAATGAAATATCTGCTAGCACTTAAGGTATCGGTAACTATCCCAATGTAAACGTATATCATAAACATGCAGCGCTGTAAACTCATGAAATGTAAATATCTTATATCATACTCGAATATATAAAGTGCAAACAATTGCGTGAATAGTGCAATTAAATAAATAAATGAATCACTGAGAGTCCGTGACAACCACAAATATTATAGAGCAGGCAGTGAAAACTGCTAATGTCCTTTATCCAAGTGTGCAAGTGCAAACGTGCAGTTATTGATGAAGAGAATCCACCACCTCAGATGGATGTACACTCACCAGACTGCAAGTAAATTAGCACATCTGTTTATATCACACATCTGGTGGTATAATGACAGCTCCGGATTTACTCCTGCAGCTCCCTCCATCCATCAGTTGGAGGACAGGTGCCACCTCTAAAGAAACTATATAACATCAGTCACATTAACAAGAAATTATAAGCAGAGCGCAATAAGGGATTACATCCGAAAAATCCTATACAGATAACAAATGAGTGATATTAATTTCTTAAGTCAAATAAAAGCAGAAGTCAAAATAAAAAGTAAATTTGTAAAAGGAAGTGGGACAAAAACTCCCAAAGAGAGTGCAAGTACGGGTACAATAAGAAAGTACAACTAGGAGCCAGTGGCAAAAAAGTGGTCAGAAACAATGAACAAAAGCATGTAAGGCACTCAATGGGAATAAATACTTTAATTCAGCCAAGAGAAGATAGTGACACTGATATGAGGAATACAGGAAAACAATAGTCCAGCTCCCAAAAGCCTACAAAATTGGAAATAGCAGATATGTTTGCAAAATTTTAAAATTCAGTTATGAATGAAATGGAAACATTACATGGAGACTTGGGTCAGATGCTGGCCCGAGTAGAAGATACAGAAGGGAGACTAGATAAACATGCTATAAACAGATAAACAGATAACAACAGAACTTAAATAGCAAGTGAAAAATCTACAAATGGCGAAAGCACAGAAGGAATAATCTGAGTATACGCGGATTACCAGAATTGGTTCAAGGAGAAGATCTAAGGGGCATAAATAAAAAGTTGTTCAACCCATTATTGAGTAGACCAACGGATAAACCACTGGAAATAGAAAGAAAACATAGGATCAGACGACCAGAGTTTGGCAGTAGAAGTCCCAAGAGATGTAATAAATACAATAAAGAATGTAGCGCTACACCCAAAAGATATATGCACACTTAAATAATAAAAAATATAAAATAAAAGATAATAAAAATGTGAAATCACAAAATCTCATAAAAAAAATAATATATATATATATAAGTGTGACAGTGATATCAATTAATATTAATTAGTGCCCATAAATCATAGAATCCACACAAAAAATTTGATAAATAGCTCAAAATGGTACAAACAACAGTGCTCTCAAAGTCCAATAAATATTTGCTGGTGACCGAAGAAAAAACAGTGCCAGTGTATGAACCGAGGAAGTCACATGACATTGTGACGCAACGCGTCGGCTTGACGTGGTGACATATTTCCGGCGTGGCGGCCATCTTGGTACACCTGTGTATTCAGCTGTACACCCATACATACATACCCTCATCCGAAAGCATGAGGTTTTGGACTGGCTGCTACGTAAGTGAAAAAGCTTAATGTTATCTGTCCCTATGTAACAAATAAAATATACTGCACTATGGGAGGATTCATTTTGTCTCATTTGAGAGATTGATGCTGCAATACTTTCCTGGAGAAGAGCCAGAGTGGGAATATTTATTTCTGAGAGAGCAACCTTTGGAGTGATAGTTATCTTGGAGGATCCGTGAGAGGGATCCACAACTGCTCTTTGATCCGCAAGGGTCGAAGGGATGAGGTGAGAGGCTTATCCAGATGGTGGTCGGATTGTCAGATGTATATGCACTCAGAGATCTGCACGAGTGTTGCCTATGGTCACTAACAGTAGTTATTGGAAGCACTGTTTTTTCTTCGGTCACCAGCAAATATTTATTGGACTTTGAGAGCACTGTTGTTTGTACCATTATAATGGTCGTTTCACTTCACAAGAGGCACGTGTGATTATAATTATATATATATGTATGCGTGCTATATATACATATATATATATGGAAATGTTTTTTCACATGTTTTGAGCTATTTATCAATTTTTTTGTGTGGATTCTATGATTTATGGGCACTAATTAATATTAATTGATATCACTGTCACACTTATATATATATATATATTTTTTTTTTATGAGATTTTGTGATTTCACATTTTTATTATCTTTTATTTTATATTTTTTATTATTTAAGTGTGCATATATCTTTTGGGTGTAGCGCTACATTCTTTATTGTATTTATCTATCACAATCACTGGTATATGATTTAATGTTAGCAGCTTCCCCTGGGATTTATATATATTTTCATTTAGTTTAAACACTTGGGAGCGCAGGAGGTTCACACCACTACTGCCCCAAGAGATGTAATACTTAGATTCTATTTTCATGAAGATAAATTGCAAATATGGGAAAAAGTATGAAGAATACCATCTATAAAGTATGAAGGAGCAAATCTCCAAGAATTCACAGATTTAGCCCCTGAAACGCTAGGTAGAAGGAGACTCCTTAAACCACTGCTTGAACAGATAAAAAAAAAAATATTCAATATAGCTGAGGTTACCTTGCATGCTTGGTGGGACAGAAAGATGGTTCACACAGCAAGACTTAGGGTTCCCAAGGATTAACAAGATTTTTGCAAAAGACTGGAACTACAAATACCAGATATCCCAGGATAGTCAGATGGCATGAAAGAGAATATAACTCTAGAAGAAGAGAAATGGCAAAAGGTTCATACACCTAAAAAATAGTGGACAATAGTGAGTAAGGGGTATCCAGGTGACAGGCGTACTCCCGGACCTGAGCCCCAAAGATGTAGTGAGGAGGGCCCAGTGGGCATATGTGTTCAAAGTTTTAACTCTTAGTAAAATAATTAATAGCTGGAAAGCAAGAATGGGCATGAAACCACCATCAATTCGAAGGTCAGAAAATGGCAAAAAACACTTTAGGACACATGAGTTTAAAACCAGGGAGGGTTGGATGGGGGGGTGGAAAGGAGGGGGAACGGGGGGGGGAGGGCGAGGATGGAAATATCCCTCAAACATTTTCTTGTAGGTTCTTTACCTTCTGCCTTCACCTAGAGGTGAGGACGGAGGAGAAGGAATGTAAGGAGGAGGTTATTTACCATCGCAACACTTACATTTTTAACATATAATGTGAGGGGGTTAAACGCCCCGGTAAAAAGACATAAGTTTCTTAAGGAAATCCAACGGTACTCCGCAACCATAGTGTTTATATAGAGACACATATCTCACATGATACAGATGGTAAACTGTATTCAAAGTATTCTTCGACATGTTACTACGGGGACTCAACAATGAGACGAGCAAGGAGGCTAGCTACAGGGATGGCGAAAGAGATAAGGTTCACTGTGAAAGAGAGGATGGCAGATCCAGAGGGGCAATATTTGTTTTTGAAGGGGAGACTGTACGATATGGACTGTACACTGGCAACTGTATACTGCCCTATTAAGAATCCAACTGTTTCCTTTTCTGGAAACGCTTATGGAATTTAAAGTCTGTAAATTGATTGTAGCAGGAGACTTTAATTTTTGTATGGAGTAACAGATAGATACCCTGCTAGTTATTATAAGAAATTTAGAGAACAGTTAGTACCAAAATTATGCTCATATATGAACTCTATGGGTGAAGGGGCTGAAATGAAGAGAGAATTATTACTGGTGTATATTACAATAATACCTAAAGAGGATAAAGATATAGCACAGTGCTCTAGTTATAGACCAATATCACTGTTAAATGCGGATACAAAGTTATATGCTAAACTTTTAGTTGCTAGAATGAAAGGACTGATGCCAGAGTGGGTACATACAGACCAAGTCGGGTTTATCCCTGGGAGGGAAGGAAGAGATAATGGGGTGAGAACATTGCTTGTTTTACAAGAAGTGAATAAAGAATAATCTCCAGTTCTATTCCACTCAATAGATGCCAAGAAAGCATTCAACAGGGTAGACTGGGGATTCATGATTACTACATTAGAAGTTTTAGGGATTTGCCCAAAAATGATTCAACAGATAAAACCACTATATAAACATCCTATGGCTGCAGTAAAGATTAATGGGATTCTTTCTCAACCTTTTGAATTATTCAGTGGTACAAGGCAGGGGTGTCCCCTTCACCCCTGCTGTTTGTATTGTTATTAGAACCTCTGTTAGCTACCATCAGGAACAATGTAGATGTAAAAGGAGTAAGAAGAGGAGGAACATAAAGTGCTAGCATACGCAGATGATATTTTGTTATACATCACCATCCCTTGAACAATGCTATCGAACTTAATGAAACTATTAAAAAATGATGGTGAATTATCAAATTTAAAAATTAATCCCTTAAAGGCAGAAATTTTGAGCATTAACACGACTAACCACTTGCCAACAGCAGAAAGCTCCCTCTCGTGCACCCCCAGCGGACACAGCTGATCACATAATTAGGTAAAAGGCCAATCACAACGGCCTTTTACTACGTGATCAGCTGTGTCCAATGACCAATTGCCAGTTATCGGCTGCACTTTCCTCACATTGTCACAGCTTGACAGCTTGTTCCTGCTGATAATCGCCAACTGTCACAGAGCAGTGCCTCCCACCAGTGTCAAGCAGTGCCACCCAGCAGTTCCCATCAGTGCTCAACAGCCAGTCACTGCTGCCAGTCAGCGCTGCCTATCAGTGTTGCCCATCAGTGCCACCTATCAGTGCCCATCATTTCTGCATATCAGTGCAGCATCATCAGTGCCTCCTCATCAATGCCCACCAGTGCTGCCTCATCAATGCCACTTCATCAGTGCAGCCTATCAGTGCCCATCAGTGCTGCCTATCTGTGCCACCTCATCAGTGCCCATCAGTGCTGCATATCAGTGCAGCCCATCAACGCACACCAGTGAAGGAGAAAAATTACCTGTTTGCAAAATCCTATAATAATTAGCTTTTTTGTTTATAGTGCAAAAAATAAAGCACCCAGTGGCAGTTAAATATCACCAAAAGAAAACTCTATTTGTATGAACAAAATGATAAAAATTTCATATGGGTACAATGTTGCATGACCACACAATTGTCATTCAGAATGTGAGAGCTTTGAAAGCTGAAAATTGGCTTGGGCACGAAGTTGGTAAAAGTGCCAAGTAGGCAAGTGGCTAAGAAAGAGGAGCAAGCTTTGCAAGAGAAATTCCCATTCTCATGGCAGAAAGAACTAAAACATTTAGGGATAGAATTAACACCGTCTTTGAAAAGTATATATTGGGCAAACTACATCCTGTTAACATATGAGATTAACCTTTACCCGCCCGGCCTATGGCCAGATGGCGGCCGGCAAAATTCCTCAGCGTTCCAGGTGGACACCATATGGCATCCTCCCGGGCATGCGCAGTTTGCGCGCCTGCAGAGCTGTGCAGTGGCGCGATCTGTCACCGGTCGTGTACCTCGGACACGGTTGATGACAGATCTGAGTACTGGTCCCGTTGCCGGTACCATGTGACCTGTTGTGACCAATCACAGCAGTTCTCATGACAGTTGTATACAATGGATGGCTTCTTTCATGCCATCCATTGTATACTAGTGTGCCTAGCTGTGAATGGTCACAGCGATCACATGCACAAGCTGGGCCAATCACAGCCCAGCTGTGTCATGTGATGGCCAAATCAAAACTAAGCACAAAAAAAGCTCTGAATGAATTGATTTCATTCAGGTAAATGCTTGCTTATAGCAAAGTAATTCTTATTATGTAGAAATATTATGCTGAAAAAGACAGTGAACAATGTATTTATATTTTATACAGTCGAAAATAATAAAGCTATTAAAAAAAAAAGTTCTTCCACCCCAAATTCGCTCATCCATGCTTTATGCACTGGTGCGCAGTCATGTTGGAACAGGTAGGGGCCATCCCCAAACTGTTCCCACAAAGTCAGGAGCATGAAATTGTCCAAAATGTCTTGGTATGCTGACGCCTTAAGCGTTTCCTTCACTTTAACTAAGGGGCCAAGCCCAACCCCTGAAAACAACCCCACACCATAATCCCCCCTCCACCAAACTTTACACTTGGCGCAATGCAGTCAGGCAAGTACCATTCTCCTCGCAACTGCCAAACCCAGACATGTCCATCAGATTGCCAGACAAAGAAGCGTGATTCTTCACTTCAAGGAACACATCTCCACTGCTCTAGAGTTCAGTGGCAGTGTGCTTTACACCACTGCATCAGAAGCTTTGCATTGCACTTGGTGATGTAAGGCTTGGATGCAGCTGCTCGGCCATGGAAACCCATTCCATGAAGCTCTCTACCCACTGTTATTGTGCTAATCTGAAGGCCACACAAAGTTTAGAGGTTTTTAGCTATTGACTCTGCAGAGAGTTGGCGACTTTTGCGCACTTCAGCATGCACTGACCCCACTCTGTCATTTTATGTGGCCTACCACTTCATGGCTGAGTTGCAGTTCTTCCCAGTTGCTTTCATTTTGTTATAACACCACTAACAGTTGACTGTGGAATATTTAGTAGCAAGGATATTTCATGGATGGACTTATTGCACAGGTGGCAACCTATCATGGTACCATGCTTGAATTCACTGAGCTCCTGAGAGTGACCCATTCTTTCACAAATGTTTATGGAAACAGTCTGCATGCTTAGGTGCTTGATTCTATACACCTGTGGCCATGTAGGTGATTGGATCACCTGAATCCAATGATTTTTGGTAATATAGTATACATCTGGAAAATGTGGTATTGACTGGCTAGTTTTGGACACCCAGCCAGTTACTGATTAAAATGTGATAACATTAGAATGTTGTCCAAAACTCTACCAGAAGCAAAAAACATTATTTTTCGCTATACAAAGATGTAGTTTTCATTAGAGGTCTATTCTTAGTTGAAAAACTCTTGTGTTTTTACATATCAATGTGTATGTTGAGAGTATCAACATGATTTGTTTGGCAACTGCCCCCTCTGTGCAGCAGTACTCCATTCAGTAGATTCATCAGCTAAGACTAGTTTTAACACACAGCATTCCACATTAAATATTTTGTCACAAAGGAAAAGATATTTGTCAAAGGGTAGAGAGACCACAGTGGGAGCGAAAGTTTTCCAAATATTTAATACAAAAATGAAGACCTTTATTTGTAACATTTAAAAATGTTTACATTTGAAACTTTAGAATTTTAGTGATTATTTCTGAAAAAAAGATAAGCAATTTTTCTATTTGAATCACTGAGTTAAAGACTGGAAATAAATAAGAAACAGTTTTTGGCCATAAAAACACAATTTCACTGCATTTTTAAAAACACTTTAGAAAATGTTAAATTTCTATCCTTCCTATTATAAAAAGGTGAAATAAGATAGATTCACTTACATTATGCCACATAGGCACAATAATACAAGATATATCTTTATGTTTCATCCTCTGCGGATTTGGAACAAAAGTAAGACATTTTTAGTGGACACAATGTTTCCCTTTTCTTCATTTAAGTGCAAAGTATACTGGATTTCTTTTTAGTTGGCTAACTGAATGTTTGAAAATGTCTGTTTTTGCACTGCTAAGGATTTATAATTGTAGAATATAAACTATGATATTAAGATTTAAGAAAACATATATTAGAGCAACATTAAATTTCTTATCACACATCATCCATTAACGTAGTATTTGAATAATACAGAAACTGTTTCCCTAAACTGAAAACATTAAACTACAATTAATCGCTGAAAATTAATGTGTGTCTGGTTCATTATAGAAAATGTTCAAAGTAATCAGAAATAATTTAAAGAAGATATTTTTGAAGTTCCTGTAATCATCCTGTAATGTGACATTCAACATTTATTTAAATCAACTGCATTTCAGAAACATCAAACAGAAGCCTTTAAGTACACTGTGGATATTTTCTATGTCACTAGCTCATATGACTATCTATTCAGCTATTTCCAAAAAGCTCCTTTTCAATATTTCAACTATACAATACAATTTAAGCAAGTAAATTACCATGCTCCAGTTGAGCAAATTCCAATGCAACAAAAAATTGAATAATTTTGTATTTTAAATAAAATGAATTCAGAAAAGTTACTGGCACAGGCCAATAAATGTAAAAATCGGAAATAAACCACATTAAGTATTAAAGAATAACAGTAAAAACCATGTGAAGTGGTCTGTGAAGGATAATCTGTGTGAATCGCTTCTAAAAAGTGCTACTTCTCCATGCAGTACAATAATATTTTGCAGCATATTTTAGCTTTAGCACAATGAGTTATGCATCAGTGTTTAAGAGCATATTGTGCACTGTTATTGCCCTGTCTCTGGAGGACTACAAACTGCATTAGTATGAATTACCAAATCATAACTTTATGTGCAGCAGATTTTCCTCAAGGACTTTAGCATTTTTATGTCATAAATCCCTCTATTATCCCCCTCCTCACATGCTTTATAACTATTAAGGTATTGAAAAATTCTGAACAGATGTCATCTAAAGATGAATGTTGCTGTGCGGATGTGTGTCAAGTCTAGAATCTAGATATTGCTCTAAAAATGTCAAGCAGAAAATAGATAAAAAAGATATACCAGCAAATGTTGTTTTCTTATCTGTTTCAACAGCACTTGCAGTCAGCACCAGGACCAGGTTCTCTAGCACCTAGAGCAAAGATGCCCTATGCTCATCAGGGTAGAAAAGTACAAGTGGCTAGATAGTTCTCCTTTATATGTAACAATGAACCAACAACTTTTCCTTCACCACAACTTTGCAATACTGGCAAATGCAGAAGGTGGAATTACTGTCTCTTTAAAATCTAAACAATAGCCACATGAACAGCATGTCCTTGCTTGACCTCCTTATCACATGCCTATTGTTTGCAACAGATCAGAGGTGAAATTATTTTGCTATGTGTACAGTGGAATTACATATACTCCATTTACTTAATAAAAGGCATATGACAGAAGAAGGAAGGAAATGGTGATTAAGAGGTCTATTGTTCCAAACAATGTCCTTTACTTTGTGATGCTTGGTTACTTTTGTGGCATAATATGTTATTATGTATGGATTTTTTTGAGAAAAGGAACAAAACAGAGTCCAAAAAGCAACTTTAAAGAGACAGGACTCCAGATTGTTTTGTGTATTTTTCTTTTTATGTGTAGTGTAATTGATTGTTATATACTGTGTATATATATATATATATATATATATATATATATATATATATATATATATAAATAAATAAAAAATAGAATGAAGGATAACTGTAAATCTCAAATGCTATATTTAAATTGTAGTTGCCCCCCTAAATCTTACATTTACCTTCTTTACGCAGTCTATGGAAATTCTTATTGTGGGGCCAGTTGGGCCTCACAGACTTTTCACAGAAATTCTCCTGGCTAGCCTGATTAGGAATGTTTTTGAGAACAGGTGGTGCACCATGCAGAAGCCATACAGCAAAGATCTCTGTGGACTGTGGACAAATAAGTGGGAAAAGTTGGTGGGATAGGTTGGGCATGGGGGATACATTTTACCATTAACTGTACTAAAAGTGAAGTTATACGTTAACCACCTTCTGCCCGCCCTATAGTACAATGACAGGCGCAAGGTGGTTCTCTCGTTCTGATAGGACGTCATATGACGTCCTACCATTCTCACTGTGCATGCGCGGCTCAGGGAGCGCGCAGCGTGGCGATCGCCGGTGCCCTGTGTCCCTCGGACACAGCGGAGCACGGAAAGAGCCGAAGATGTTGGCTCGGCCATGTAATCAGCTATGTCCAATCACAGCTGATCACATGTAAACACGGAAATGCCGGTTATCGCCATTTCTCTCCTCTCGAGCTATCACGCTGACATCTCGAGAGGAGAGGAGAGCCGGTAATCGGCTTTCCGCGGAGGGGACATGTACACTGATCATCAGGGCACTGATGATCAGTGTGCCTTGATGATCAGTGTG